CCTTTCCTTTCCTTTCCTTTCCTTTCCTTTCCTTTCCTTTCCTTTCCATTCCATTCCATTCCATTCCATTCCATTCCATTCCATTCCCTTTTTTTTGAAACACCCAATTTCCCATAAAAGAAGCCAGAAGTTTCTGACTTCTGGTACAAAACAATCCTTCCTTCCTTCCTTCCTTCCTTCCTTCCTTCCTTCCTTCCTTCCTTCCTTCCTTCCTTCCTTCCTTCCTTCCTTCCTCCTTCCTTCCTTCCTCCCTCCCTCCCTCCCTCCCTCCCTCCCCCCTTCTGGGTTCCCTACATAAAACCAAAATGCCACTGAGCATCGCAAGCCTCACAGCACCCTAGACTGGAAACATGTCCGGCCTCTGAGAGAAAATCGCCTACCTGACGAATGCAAAATGGTGGCCCAGAATTCCTTGGCCCTTCGAGCAATCCCGTCTTCCAGTCCAGTCAGCTTGTAGAGGGAGACTTGGTGGGGGCATTTCTGGTTACTGAATTTACATATAACCATGTCGCAGTCCTGCAAAAGGAGAGATAAACCATATAGACCCACAAACCAAGGTTGGCTTGCATTCCAGTTCCTTCTTCACTTTTCCTCAAGAACAAGGTCAACTCGACTATAGCTGAACTGCCGTTTCTTCATGACGAGAGAAAACCTTCCAACAAGCATTGGAGATTTGCTCCATCGTGAAGATCGTTGTTTCTCAACCGTGGCAACTTGAAGATGTGTGGACTTCAACTCCCAGAATTCCTCAGCCTCCCATTGAGTCCCAGCTGATCGGCTGGGTCTTCTTTGGTTGCCCTGCCCAGGAGAATGGAGCTGGAAAGCAGGTTAGTGGGGTGGGAAGGGAATGCAGATTTTGCAGTATAGCCTTCCCCTGCCACGCCCACCAAGCCATGCCCACAGAACCGGTAGTAAAAAAAATTTGAATCCCACCACTACCTAGATTAGAATAGATACCTGACTAACATAGCAAGCATGGGAGAAGCCACTTTCGGTGAGCCGCTGAATTTCTCCAGGGTTCTCGTAGCTAACGACGTACAAGTGGTGTTCCAAGGGAGAATCCTTTGTACCTTCAAAATATACCAGTTTGTTAACTTCATCCACTCGGATCTGATTAAAAAAAAAAAGCACAAAACAGAAATGACCCATATTTCTATCATCACGGATACCCAAAGCAGCCAGGTCATTTGTAGCTCGACTGCCTGACAAGGAAGTGGATGCAGAATTACCAAGTACTAGAATATCCTCCACGTGACTCTGCAAAGCTATTTTTGTCTGAAATGGCACAGGGCCTCCTGCCTGAGAAGAGGGTTGGACTAGATCAGTGGCAGCTAACATTTTTGTTGTGGCGTGCGCGTGTACGCGCACAAGTGCCTGCACCCAGGGGTGGGATTCTACCAGTTCGCACCTAGTCTCTAGAACCGGTTGTAAACATTCTAAGCAGTTCGGAGAAACGGTTGTTAGAAGAAATGACTGGGCTAATCCTGTAAGAAAGGCAGGAAGGAAACATTCTGGTGTTGCTTACAGAAACTGCCTCTCCATTAACCCTTATTGCATTCTTGGCAGGACTAAACTTCCTGTCTCAGGAACTTCTCTGGAGTTTTTT